TATTATTATTATTATTATTATTATTATTATTATTATTATTATAAGTATTTCTCTTGATGGCGACTTAAACTTTTGCCTTCTAAAGCATTTAAATTCAAAAAAAAGAAAAAAAATTTACTTCCTCTCTCTCTCTCTCTCTCTCTCTCTCTCTCTTCTAATCATCGAATCAGTTTCGTATGAAAGAGAGAGAGAGAGAGAGAGAGAGAGAGAGAGAGAAAGAGAGGGAGGGAGGGAGTGAGAGTGAGAGAGAAAATTAGCTTTTGAAGCTACAAAAAAATTTAAAAATTAAGTACAAAACTACTCCGACCGTCAGTTAATTAAAATAATAAGTCAGTTCAGAATCGAATCGATCGATCAATCGATATATCGATCCATCGATCGATATATCGAACAACGAATTCGCATATTCGTCCGTCGGAGATGATGAGAAAAAAAAAAAAAAAACTTCGATACTATTCGATTTTCGACCACTTAACGAGATCATCATATTTCAAGTGAATGAATGAATGAATGAATGAATGACTGACTATTAATAATATTAATAATAATAATAATAGTAGTAGCAATGATAATAATGATAATAAATAAATAAATAAAAAAAAAGGGGGAAAAAAAAAATTCAAATTCACTTGAAAAAAAAAATTGTGGGGGGAGAGAAGGGGAGGGACCGATTTTCTTAAATTTTTTTTACTCTCACATCAAAATACACGGTTACCAACTTAAAAGTTTTCTTTCTTTTTTTCTCTCCACTCTTTTTCGGTTTTTTAAATAATAATAATAATAATAAGTAAATAAATGATGACTACATATTAATCAATACGTACATATATATATATATACACACACGCACACACACGTGTTAAAAATACACGCACCGACTGCGACGTGATAAATTATTATTATTATTATTGCCGTTGTTCTTTTAGTCGCTGTCGATGACGCTGTTGTTATGACGTAGCCTTCATTGTATTGATTACAATAATTACGTATATGTGTGTGTGTGTGTGTATGCAATATAACATTACAAAGATTTCAAATTTACCATCGTCATCATCATCACTATCATGATTATCATCATCATCATGATCATCAATGAATGAAATTATTAAAAAAAATCATAATAATAATAATAACAGTAAGTAAATAATTAATAAATAATAATAATAATAATAATAATATTAATAAACTCTTTACTTGTTGGCAGTATTGTTTTTAAACTAATTCTAATCCTTTTTTTTTAAATTACGTGGGGCGGAGGGAGAAGGTGGGAGGAAATGGAGATGGAAGGGGAGGGAAGAAGGAGGAGGAAGGGAGGAGCGAAGAGGGGAGAGGAGAAAGAAGGAAGGAAGGGAGGAGAGAAATGGGAGGGAAGGGTTCCATTACGTAATTTTCAAAATTGAATATTATTCATAATAATAATAATAGTTGAAAGATGATTATGATGATGATGATGATGATGATGATGATGATGATAATAATAATAATATATACACATATACATAACAAGTAGTATTTTTTTTTCTTTATATAATTAAACACAATGTATATATCTATCACTCGTCGTCGTAAGATGTACATTAATGAGAGAGACAAGAAGAGAGAGAGAGAGAGAGAGAGAGAGAGAGAGAGAGAGAGAGAGAAAGAGAGTGTGTCTGCCTGTCTGTGTATGTGTTTTGTGTTGCCTCGATTCGCATCGTTGTTCCGAATGTCGAATGACGGTGACGCGACGTCGACGACGACGACGATGACGACGACGTTACGTCACGCTTATGGGCCTTGATTGTTCCTTGGGCTCGGTTTTAATGCACTTTCCCGTGAGCTGATTAACGCTCAGAGGATTGTTAACGTCGTGGGGATTCGTTCCGACCGGATTCCTGTTGAGGGGAGGCAACGCGATCGGCATTATGGGTTTCATGTCGAACGTCGGCGGCGTGAGCGGGGATTGCAATGACATGCAAGGGGATGCCAGGCTCACGGACGGCGAGGCAAGTGACGTCGAAGGCGAGGGCAAGATCATGCTCGGAGATGTGAGCGAGGAAAGACCGCTTAAACCCCCGGGGGAAGAAAGTGAATGAGGAAGACTTTCTGCTCCGTCGTCGTCGTCCGGCGGGGTTCTCGCTTCTCCGACGCTACCGCAACTTCCTAAGTTATCCTCTGACTGATTGCCATCTCTTTCCTCTCCGCTTTCCAAATACCTAATACATTTTTTTTTACGCCTGAAAATATATACGAACGTGTCATTAGATACGATCTCTTTTTTTCCGACAGAATTCATACATATTTCATTTTAACTTTTCCTTTTTCTTTTTTTTTTTTCTTTTCATTCCAGAAGAATCGACAAACACGAATCGATGGCATCGATTCTCCCGTTTGGAAGAAAAAAAAAAAAAGAAAAGGAAAAATTTAATAATAATAATAATAATAATAATAATAATAATAAAACGTGCATTTTCCTTAAAAAAAAAAAAAAAAAAATTAATATATAGCAAATCGTATAATAAAAATCATTCAAAGAGAGGACGAGGAGGAAGAGGAGGGGGAAGAAAATGAAGAGCAACAGCAGCATCAACAGCATCATCAGCAGCATCTTCCTTTGCTCAACACAATTTAAAAATAATAATAATGATAATAAACGTGCCAGCCATTAAAAATATATATAATTAATATTTTAATTTTTTTTTTTTTTTTAAAGCTCGTTCGTCGTTTGTTTTAATATCTTTGCTTGCTTGTCGTTGTTTTATTTACTGTTTTATACAAACGACAAACAAACGAGAGTAACAAACGAGAGTAAAAAAAAATTTCGTTTACTGTTACGAAAGCTAAAAAAAAAAAAAAAAAAACGCAATCAATTAAACCTTTTCTTTTTTTTTTTTTAAATATAAATTTCATTCTCGAAATGAAAATAATAATAATAATAATAAAAACATGAACAAAACAAACAGCACAAACAACAAAAACAAACAAACAAGCTTTAAAATAAAACGAGCAAATAAAAATGAGTTTTTTTTTATTAATAAAAATTAATAAAAATTTAATAAAAAAAAAACAGCAACAACAACAACCACAACAAACAAACAAACAAACAAAACGAAAATAATAAATAAATAAATAATAATAATAATAATGATAGTAGTAGTAATAATAAAAATAAAATTAATTGAAATGATTCGTCTCTAATTAACCATCGATTGAGAGAAAAAAAGGGCGACGAGCAGGTTTTGAATATGAATAACAAAAGATGCGAGCGGGCTAAAGGGGTGGGGGTGGTAAGGGGCAAGCAAGCAGGGGAACTACGCATAAAAAAAAACGGTTAAAATAAAAAAATAAAAAAAAAATATAGAAAAAAAAGAGAGAGAGAGAGAGATAGAGATGTACAGAGAAATAGAAAACTCACAAAAAAAAAAATTCGTGAATGAATGAATCAACCTGTAGGTAGAAACAAACTTTTTGGTTTGTACAACCACAGAGACGGCTGGTGGTCAAAAAGATAACGGGGGAACGTCGACTAGAGGTTAACGTATGTCGGCTCTTGAGGGGATGCGACTCCGAGTGCTCCGGAGTTTCCGGCACCACCGTGAAGAACGGTGCCGTGCAAAGCCCCACCGGAAGTTAAACCCGCTGACCCACCACTCACAGTGTCCGGGCTGCCCAATAATACAACAGTCAACAAATTTTTTTTTTTTTTTCCTTTCTTAATATTAATAATAATAATAATTATAATAATAAACAAAATTTATAAAGAGGAAAAATTTTTAATTCTTGTGCCACGACACGAACGACTCAAACTCGTGTCATCGAAATCGATTAAAAATTTTTCCACTTTTTTTCGAAACCTGGATCAGGAGAACTTTGAGAAATTTATAAACAAACAAACAAACAATGGATACGTGATAACAAACGCGTGAGGAAGAAGGTGGAGAAGAAAGAGAAGGAGGAAAAGGAGGAGAAGGAAAAGAAGGAGGAGAAAGAAGAGAAGATGAAGGACAAGAGGTTCACATCAGGACGGAAACGTCGTCAACAATATCTCGATTTTCTCCTTTCCGGAAATGATTAACAATAACAATAATAATAATAATAATAATAATAATAATAATAATAATAATAATAAAGTCTCCATCACCAGGTTTTCATCATTTTAAATATATATAAATATAAAAAAACCTTCCATAAGTGAAACATTAGAAAATGTGTCGTCTGTCCAAAAAACGAAAAATATTTACAACGTAACAACTTTTCTTAATGAAAAAAGACAAAATGATAATAATAATAATAATAATAATAATAATAATTAAGTTAAAAAATACAATTAAAAAAAAAATCGATCAAAGCGAAAATTAAATAAATAAATAAATAAATAAATCATAAAAATAAAAAAAAAAAAAATAAAATTGACTGTTGTGATTTGAGAGCCCGAAAATAATAATAATAATAACAAATAAATAATAAATAATAAATAATAATAATAATAATAATAGAAGTGAAAGCCATGGTTAACCCATATACAAGTTAATGAAAGAAAAAAAAATTGATTAATAATAATAATAATAAAATCATTATCATTATTAAATATTTATTAGTATCATAATCATAATCATAATCATCATCATCATCATTACCATCATCGAAACCGTCACATAATCATCATCATCATTACCATCGTCACCGAAATGAGAGATGGCACGATGATGATGATGATAATAAATAAATAAATAAATAATAATACTTATTTTGATACGATTGTTAAAATTCACATGACCGATTTCGACACATTTTCTAACGGTTCATCAAACGAAAGAAAAAAAGAAGAAAAAAACGTAATAATAATAATAATAATAATAATAATAATAATTTTTTCGAATAAATAAATAAAAATAAATCAATCAATCAATCACGTTGATTTTTTTTTTCCTCTTTTTTCCTTTTCTTATTTATAAACAAATAAATAAATAATTATTAATAATTTTAAAATTAAATGAATGAATGAATGGGTAATTAATTTCTCACCTGCAAGGTTTGCACCACTGACTTTGCTGATCGAGACCGTATCGAGCTCGGCACTTTTTCATATTGTTACCTGAAATTTTTAAACAATTTTTTTTTTTTGGTTACGTCACACAACAAAACCTAACGACGATTTTATCATTTCAGGTTCGTTTCAATAAATAAATAAATAACGATCATAGCTCGGGCCCCGCCCCCGCCCTGGAGGGGTGGGGAGTAATACTTTTGTATTACTTAAATCAAATTAATGCCACGTTTATTTCGATAACGAACTAATGCCACGTTTGTTTATTATTTATTACATCGACCTGAAATGATAAAACGACGCCATTATCAAAAAATAAAAATAAATAAATGAAAACAGCAACGAACGGCCGAGAAAGAGAGAAAGAAGGAGAGAGAGAGAGAGAGAGACGGAGAGAGAGAGAGAGAGAGAGAGAGATCCCTAACGAATTAATTAATTCCAAAAGAAAATCATTTGGCCGTTGCTAGTTGCTGTTTAAAAAAAAATGGCGGGCGAATATTTAAAAAAAAGAAAAGAAAAAGTGAAGGCATGCAAAAAACGTGTGAGTGGTGTGTGGTAATCATAATAATAATAATAACAACAACAAAAATACTCTAAAAAAAAAAAAAAATGGCGCTAGCGTAATACGAACGCGTTTTCCGATCACTACTATAAGAAATATGAGAGAGAAAGAGAGAGAGAGAGAGAGAGAGGTAAAAAAGTATTCATATTTCCTCCAACGATTGATTTCAACCAAAGTAAGTAATAAAATAATTTTCCCGGGCACTGATCATCATCATCATGATTATCATCATTATCATTCTATTTTTTTAAATTTTCATAATAATAATAATAATAATAATAATAATAATTATTATAATAATTTACTCGTGTTACCAGAACGGGTTAGTTAATCGGGTTAGTTAATGAGCATTAACAATTAAACGAAAATATACCCATGTTCACCATCGTCATCATCATCATCATTATTATTATTATCATTATCATCAGACTCGAGAATAAATTTAAATCTTAAAGTAGAGTAACGAACGTTATAATAATAATAATAATAATAACGACAACGACAGAACGACAGACAGTAAAACAACAACAACAACAACATCGACAACAACAATAACAACGATAATAATAATAATAATAATGTGTAACCGCATGCACCAAATCCCATATAAATAAATAATTTAAAAATAATAATAATAATAATAATAAAGCAACGTCATCACCGAAAGGTAAAAAAAAAAAAAAAAAAAAAAAAAAGAAAATCACAACCGATCTAAAAATAAATAAATAAAAATCTCTCGTGTAGATTTATTTATTTATTTATTTATACAGTCTGTAAATAAATAGATACATAAACCAAAATAAATAAATAAATAAAAAGATAGACAGATAGATAGATAGATAGATAGATAGCAGACGAAAAATAGAAAAAATTAAAAAAAAATATTGAAAAAAAAATATTCATTTGCATTTTGTGTATGTACGTATGTATTATTAAGTACGTATAATATATAAGGAGGTCGAAATTACCTCCATCGTTAGCCTCCTGTTTCCGCTTCCTCTTCTTTCCGCGGGAGGAATTGGCCCTAGACGACCAATCAGGATAGAGCTGCATGTGCAGCTGTCGTTCCCTACGTGCGAGCTCGTAATATTTCGCCTGTTCCTCGCGACCAAGGGCATGCCACTAACCCAACAAACAAACAAAAAAAAAAAAAAAAAAAAAAAAAAAATTGCTTAAAAAAAATATATAAATAAACAAAATAATAATAATAATAATAATAATAATAAAAATAATAATAATTATAATTATAATTAAAACAACATCAACAAAAAAAAAGAAAAAAAAAAAAGAACGTTTTTTTTTTTTTTTCTCCTGTCTGAACAACTTTGACTTATTGAATCGTCGAAGGTAGGTAGAGCCCAAAATGAGAGAGAGAGAGAGAGAGACACACACGACGGACGAATCGAAAGTAAACAAAAATAAAGAAAGAAAAACAAAAGAAAACAAAAGAAACAAAAAAAAGAAAAAGAGAGAGGATGAAAAAAAAAAAGAGGTACCAACCGAACGCATGACCGTTCATATCCGGACACGCAAGTACCCGGTTACACGTACTTATTATTATTATCATCATCGTCATCATGACCATGTGCTAGGAATACAGCAGCAGATACGTCACACACACGCACACACACACACCGACAGCATTCCCCCGCGAAGAAAAAAACAGGAAGCGAAAAAAAATAACCCACGACTAATTTACTACTCCCCAAAGTAATAATAATAATAATAATAATAATAATAATAATAATAATAATAATAATGATAATTATTAATTAATAAATACATCAACAAAATCATCATAATAATAATTATAATAATAATAATCATCATCATCATGCTTGTTATTATTACCAATTTTAGCAATAAAAAAAAAACCGGAAGTACATGATAACGTCACAAACAAAAAAAAAAAAAAAAGAGAGAGAGAGAAAGAAAATAAAAAAATACAAACAAATAAATAAATAAATAAATAAAACAAAATTATTATTATTATCGGAAGCAAAAAAAAAAAAAAAAAACCAAACAAAAAATCAGGTACGAAATAAGAAAAGATAGTATACGATCGGGATTTGAGTTAGTAACAAAAAAAAAAAAAATTAATTAATTAATTAATTAATCAATTAATAAACATAAACATAAATAAATAAATAAATAAAAAATCAAAATAATACATGCCCGAGCCGCCGGAACCGCCGGAATAATTTTATATTATTATTATCATCATCATCAACATCATCAACAACGACGTCAACGACATCATCATCATCATCATCATCATCATCATTATTAATTAATTAAATAATCGAAATAATAAATAAATAAATAAATAAATAACCCATTCTGCTATTTTAATTCTCATCGATTTCGAGTACTTGCAATTTCAATAATAATAATAATAATAATAATAATAATGATAAATAAATAATTAGTAATAAAATAATCAGTGCCGTATCCACGCTCTCATTTACCGAATCGTTAACCAAAAAAATAAATAAATAAAATGTTATGTATAAATAAATAAATGAACGTCCCACGTTTGTTGTTGTTTGTGTCGGCGGTGGCGGGTTAAAGTTATTTTTTTTTTAAATTTCGCGCCATTTTTTTTTTGACTCCGCCGCCGTATTACGCTAGCACTACTACGGGTAGTAAAGGTAAACAAATATAAAATAAATAATAATAATAATAATAAAGAATGAGATAATCAAATAAAGGAAGGAAAATAACTATAACGGGACGATAGAGAGAGAGAGAGAAAGAGAGAAAAGGAAAACTTAAAAAAATAATAAAAAAGAAAAAAAAAAGAAAAGAAAAGAAAAAGTCCCTTTTTCCCTCTCCTCTTCGGGGAACGTCGTGCGTGCGTGCGTGTGTGAGTGCGATCAGTGCGTCGTATGCGTAGCCGCGCACGCAAGCACTCACGCACTCGCGACGTTCCTTCCCGGATGAGGGGAAATAAAGGACTCGTTCCTGATAAACGTCATCATCGTGTTATTTTTTTTTTTGGGGGGGCTTCTGGGGTGTCTCTACCTCCTATAGAAGTTATTTCAGGCGTTCTTTCTTTTTTTCTCTTCTTTTTCTTCGTTCCATATCCGTAATTATCCCTAGCGCTCCAACCTGGATAAAGCTGCATGTGAAGCTGTCGCTCGTGCCTCGCTTTTTCATAATATTTGGCTTGTTCATCTCGCGTCAGACTATGCCACTATATAATATATAACAATACGTGTGCACACACACATATAAAAACTTTTATTAACCTTTCGTGACCTTTTTATTTATAAAAAAAAAAATTTAAACGTTCCTTCGTGCCTGAATTCCTTCCCTCCTTCACTCCCTCCCCCTTCCTCATTTATTTCCCCATCCCCTGCCTTTACCCATCCGCTACCTACGATTACCCCCTTCCCTCTGACGGAAGGAAGGAAGGAAGGAATGATGATAATGATTTTCGAATCTTTCCCCAACTTTTTATCTATTTCCTCTCTGCTTCCTACCCTTATTTCCTCCCTCCCCCGTACCCCTACCGAGAGTGCGAGCGCGAGTGAATGTTTTCCTTCTTTTTTTAATTATTATTATTTTTTACATATATTATTATCATTACGACATTTTTTTTTTTTTTTTTTTTTTTAGAAAATCAATCAAAGATGAGAAAAAAAGGGAAACACTTACTCTTCTACCTAATATTTGATTGATGGCAGCACTTTCTTTAAGGGTACATTCTGCTACCACTTTCGCTCTCATTTCCTTCATGTAAAGCATGAAAGCGTTCAATGGTTTCTTTATGTGTGGTTTCTTTTTATCGTTCTGCGAACTTGCGTCCTGTGATTTCGAATCCTGTCGTCCGTGGTGGTGGTGATGATGATGAGAAGAACTCGAATTCTTATGATCTAACGAACTAGACCTGCCAACATACACAAAAAAAATTTTTTTTTAAAATAAATTTCTTTCGTTAAAACGTAAACTGAGAGGGAAAACATTTTTTTTTTTTTAAGGGGCCTTCATCGATCGTTTTTTTTAATTCGTCAAAAAAAAAAAAGAGAAAGAGAAAGAGAGAGACAGAGAGAAACAAACAAAAAAAAAAAATAATAATAATAAATTTTTATATATATATATACATACATGCACATGCGAAAGGATAAGAGGAGGAAGAACAAAAAAAAAAAAAAAAAAAGGAAAAAAAAAATTGAAATGAAATGAAAAGAAAAGAAAAAAAGGAGCGATGAATAGATAGATAGGTAGGTTGGTAGGTAGGTAAGTAGAGAAGCGAGAGGAGGATACATACAAAAGCCAGAGGACAAAGGAAAATAGAAAAGAAAGAAAGAGATGGAAAGAGATAGAGAGAGAAAGAGAGATGAAAAACTGAATCGAAATAAAAGAAACAGACAGAACAGGAAAGAACAGCGTGGAACATAAAATCAATTTTCTTTTGTTCCTTGAAGCACACAGAAAAGAAGAAAAACTTTTTCTTTTTCCCCATTTTTTTTTTCCTTTTTTCCTTTTTTTCCTCTTTTTTTTTTTTTTAAATATATTTTTTTCCAGGAGAAAAATCTTTAACAATATCATCAAATCCGCCATTTTTAAAATTCTAAAGTAATTCAATTTAAAAAAAAAAATTATTTTATTTTAAATTTTTTTTTTTCCCCCCCCTGGACAGAAAGAAAAAGAATAAAAAATTATCATCATTATCATCATCGTTTGATTTTTGTGACGAGAGTGGGGGGTTGGTACACCCCTGTTACCGCAAAGTGGACGGAAGGAGATCACGTGTGTGAAACCTTCCTCGGCGGACAAACAGGTGAGAAAATGAACGTGACGAAAAAGGAAAAACGATTTTCGAACAACAGAGAAGGAAAGCCGAAGGGGGAAGGGGGGCTACTGTATTAAATACGAACGAAAAGAACAAATAATAATAATAATAATGAAAAGCATGCTTTTTTTTCGCTGAAATTTCCTTTACCGTTTTCCCATGTATTTGCTCATTCTTTCTTTCTTTTGTTTCGACGACGACAGAGACGAGAGGGACGACGACAGAGACGACGACAACGACGTCGTCGACGACGACCTTTCGTGAAGGTTCGGTATCGTTAAAACGAGAGGTTTGGACAAACTTTCAAATTCCGGAGATTTTAAATTCAACGTCAGCGCCAAGGATGACGGATTCGTGTGGAAAATGAAATTCGATGACGATGACTTTTTGCTAAAATCCAAAGGTTCCTCGTACGAAGACATTCTCAGGTTCAAAGGTTCGTCGAAATCTTCCGCATCGGATTTGACACCACCGCTGTTCAAATATTTCTCGTAATTTCTTTCCTTTTCGTTTCCGGTCTTATCTTTCTTATCACTCCTGTTGTTGACATCGTCGTCATCATCTTCGACGTCATCATCCGCATCGTCGTCGTCATCGTCATCGTCATTCTCGTCGCTGTTGTTGTTGTTGTTGTTATTATTATTATTCTTTTCATCTTTTCCATCGTTACTTGTAACCTTTCCTCCACCTTCTTCCTCTTCCGTTTTGTTTGTAGGATACAACGACGACGATGACGATGACGGGGGCGGACGAGCGTTTAATCTTTCTCTAAGAAACGGATAAGGATCATCATCGTCGTCGTCGTCGTCGCCGCCGCCGCCGCCGCCATCTTTCGAACATTTCCGACCCTCATCCTCGTTTTTCCCACCATCCTTTTCACTCGCTCCCGATTCTATCATCATAAATTTTTTATAATTTTCATAAGCTCCTAAAAATTGCGACGGATACCCTCCTCCTCCAACTCCTCCGTAACCGGAAAATCTCCAGTATGGATAATTTTGAAAATTAATCATTAAATCTCTCATGTACGTGGCAGCAAGTACTTGTTGCTTCGTCGAAGACAAATCCGATATCATCATCGAGTAAATATTATTTGAACACCCTGTTGTTGTTTCTGAAGAAGATGAAGTCCGATCATTATTGTCATCCTTTTCGAGCAATCTATCTATGTAATATTTGGCACTGTTGCTCGACCTGTTGTTACTCTCCTCGCCACCCTCACCGGTTATTTCGGGTTTCTCATCCGAATCATCTTCCGATTTCGTTTCGGATATTTTGGACGAAGGAGCAACTATTGCCACGGGTTTGGATTTTTTCACTAAATTTAAAGGAGATTGGCACCATTGTTCCATAGTTTTTTTTCTTTTTTTCTTAATGTTTCACTACCGACCGTTTCCTCATCGTCACCATCATCACCATCATCATCATCATCATCAACACAAATTCCGTTACGAAAAATTTAAAAATCGACGACGATATTAATAATAATAATAATATTTTTTTTGCTTCGCCGTTTTAAAACGTTAAATAATTCATTTCCTAAAAAGTAAAACACGAATGCTCAAAAAAAAAAAAAGGGAAAACTTTACACAAAAGTACAAACGCACGCAACGCAACGCACGCACGCACGCACGCACTCGAAATGGAAAATGGAAAAAGAAAATGGAAAAAATAAAATATCCCGACGAAATAAAAATTTGAATAAAATTCTAAACAACCGATTGACTGACTTACTGACTCACTCACTCAATCACTGACTAACTAACTAACTAACAGGTTCCTTTTCTACATTTTCCAGAAAATGTGGAAAATGGAAGAGAAAAACCGACACAGCGCACAACAAAGGAACGAGGAAATAAATAAAATTCCATTCTTATTTTGATCGATCGTTCATCCATCATTGATCATCAACTCCCAGGCAAACTGAAGAGAGGAAACAAAAAAAAAAAAAAAAAACGGGAAAAAGTGAAAAAAGTGGAAAAAGAAAGAAAAAAAAAAAAATTTTCTTTTTCCACTTTTTTTTCTTTCCTTTATCATCATCATCATTATTATCATTATTTTATTTCATTTTTCCATTTCGTCGTTTAAAAATTTATTTATGGGAAAGACCTTGAAAAAAAAAATCAACAGACAAACAAACACCGCCGCCGCCGCGCGGTTGTTGTTGTTGTTTGTTGTAATAAAGACGAAAACGGTAGAAAATACGAGGATGCACCAGAGGTCGAAAAAATTGAAAATAATAATAGAAAAGGATAGAGCGATGGGAAGAGAGAGAGAGAGAGAGAGAGAGAGAGAGAGGAAGAGGGAGAGGGAAAATCGGAAACGAAAGAGGGAAACTAATAAAAGAACGAAAGACAACGATGGAGAAAAAAAATTTTCTTTTTTTTTTAAAGGCGAGAAAATGTTAAAGAGAGAGAGAGAGAGAGAGAGAAATATTCGGTGGAGAAGAAGAAAAAAAAAAAAACAAAAACAAAAGGAAGGAGGGGAAAAAAAATCCACAGGTAGCCACTAAAGTATAACTGATAAATATATATACGCAGACACCACTCGCATAAATATTTCTGTCGTGTCAATAGAAAAAAAAAAAAATAATAAAACGGATTTTCATTAAGGAATCACGTCAGAGAAATCGCGTGAGGCGGAAGCGAGTAGCGGGGGTGGAAAAGCGGAAGTGCGTGAGTGCGTGCGTGTGGGCGCGCGTACTGTCCAAGTACCAAATAAATATAATTTAAATCACAGTGGGGAGACCTTTTTCCTCCCTCTCTTTCTCCCTAACCCACCCCCCTTTCGAGAGATCAAAAGAAAAAATAAAAAAAAAAAAAGGACCGCAATTGAATCAACGACATCCACCCACGCACACGCACACGCAAACACACACAAACACGTTACACGAAATCTTTTTCCCGTTCGTTCGTTTTCTCGTTTGTTTGTTTGTTTTAACGTCCCGGGCAGAATCGAAAAAAAAATTTCCACATCAAAAATCCGTGTTGGGTAATCACACACGCACACGCACACGCACACACACGCTTTTATTATTATTATTATTATATTAAACCGTACAAACGTCGTTCCTTTGTCGCCTCACACATTTTTCCAGGATAAAAAAAAAAAAAAAAAAACCAAAAACGACAACGACAACAACAACAACAACCACCACTATCACCACTACTGCAATTACGTATGTTTCACTTCTCAACGTATTTTACTCACTCACTCACAAAAAAACAAACAAACAAACAAACGGACGAACGGACGAACGGATGGACAAACGAACGAAACACTCCATTTTTTTTTTTATCATCATTATTATTTTTTACGAATTAAAAAAAAAAAAAAACCGACCGCCATTTTAAAATTTATTCCCGTGCAAAAAACGAACGTACGCGAATTTATATATTTGTAACAAACAAACACAAACACAAACACGGATAACAAACGGATATGAAGAGAAAAAAAAATAAAAAATAAAATAAAAAATATGAAACGTCTGAACTAACAAAGAAATGAGTCATCATTCTCATACATTTTCTTTTTGCCCTTTTTTTTTTTTTTTTCCTCTTTATTTCACCACCGCGTTTTTCCCTTTTTCCCCCTTTTTCCCTCGCCTTCCCTACCCTTCGCCTACTCTCTCTCTACCCCCCACTTCCTACCCCTCGCGCTTCCTCGCGCGCGCGACACTTTTCTTCCCTCTTTCTCTCTATTCCTCCCCCGACTTCCCCCTTTTCCCTCATCCCTATTCATCCCTTTCAAAAATTTACCCTTCCCCCGCTTCCCTCGCGTTTCCCCTTCCCTTCCCGCCGCTTTCCTAGTTTTCCTTTTTTTCTTTTTTAAACCGCTCGTGACTCCCGCGGAACGCTTCCGCCGCGCGCCGGTTTTTCTGTTTCTGCTTTTCGCTCCTGCTTCTTTCCTCCTTTTGCCACTGCTTTTCCTTTCGAGAACTTTTTCCCATCGAACACGTTCTCTCTCTCTCTCTCTCTCCGCTCCCGTTTTCCCGACCACTCGCCTCTCTCCCTTCCTCCTTCGCAACAACAATCCCTTATATTTATTTATTTTTTTCTCTTTTTTTACGAATCCAAATGAAAAGAGAACGTATTCATGCAATTTTTCTTTTTTCTTTTTTCAAGGACGTTTTTGAAAAACGAACGGGGCGAACGGGTCGAACGGGGGTGAAGGCTCACGTTCGGGGAAAAGAGGTAGGTATGAAAGAAAAAATATATAATAATGAAAATTTTTTTTTTTGGGAAAACCTTTTGAAAAGAAAGAAAAGAAAATGGAAGGAGGAAAAGAGTAGATAGAGGAGAAACGGGGAGGAGGAGAAGGAGGAGGAAAGGGAAAATCGGAAAATGGAATAAAAGGAAAAAGGAAAAAAAAGGAAAAAAACTCATGATTAACTTATACGGGAATCAACAAGAAATATAAATCATACAGTCGGGAAAGTCGGTCGTGATCATCACAAAGGATGAAAATTTTCGAGGTAGATAAAAGAGAGAGAGAAAGAGTCAAGTAACGAATGTGTGTGAGAGAGAGAGAGAAAGAAAAATTGTTATTTCCCAGGCGGCAGCGGGGTTACCAACATTGAAAAAGAGAAAACGTGGAGAGGAGGGAACGAGGAGAAGGGGAGGGGCCAGAGGTAAAACTGGAAAAATCTCTATCGGATACCTTTTGTCTGTGTGTGTGTGTGTGCGTTTTTTTTTTTTTTTAAATAACTGACGCGGTCATAAGTTTAATTTACGCGAAATTTTCTTCTTACTTTTCATCACTCCTCTCCTTTCCCTCACTTTCACTCACCCGCCGGCGAATTTGGAAATTTTTTTTTTTTTTTTTTTTTTCCCGAATTGCACGGAGGACAAACGTTAAAAAAATTTATCAATAATAATAATAATAATTATAATTCTCGCGATCGATCATTATCGATCGATTTTTCTTTTTCCCTCCCTGCCCTCCTCTTCGTCGGTGACTTCTTTTCATTTTAAACGCGTTGTATTCCATGTTTTTCTACACAAACCGTGTATTGTTCCCAAAAAAAGAAAAAACGGATCAATATATACATAAAACGGGAAAAGAAATAAAGAAAGAAAGAAAGAAAGCGAACCGACGAACGAAACGAATGACAACTTTCGAAAGAGAGAGGGAGATAAAGAGAATAAAATAGAAAAAGGGAAACAGCGAACCAACACCATCTATCGTGAATTTTATTAAAATCGTGATAAAACAGTTTTTGTTTTGTTTTTTTCTTCCCCCTTTTCGCAAGTTCCAGACGGTAACTCCATCTTTAATCACATTTTTCGCGCTTTTTTTTCTTTTCAAATGTTCGAAACCTTTTCAATTAATTTCTTCTGTCTTATTTTCTCCAGGATTAATTGTTAATTAATAGATCGATCACGTGACGATCACGTGATCGATCTCTTTTTAATAAAAAATGAAAATAAAAACTTACCGGTGGTTGTGATCCGACTGAGTATGATGTCCTAATTCTTGTTTGGGTCCAGGGGTGACAATGGCCGGATGGGATGATAGTGAATGATGACCGTGAGGACTAAGACCGGGATGACCCGGTAATAGACTCGTCGGTGAAAATCTATAAAAGTCGCTAGGTAACGTTGTACTACTAATGGGTAATGACGTGGGATAGGGGCTTCGGAACCCCGCACCCGCTGAGATCGGATACATCCCAGGAGTGTGCCTGAAATTTTAAAGAAAATTATCAAAATCAGAAAACAAACGAACAAACAAACGTGAAGGAGAACAACGAACGATAAAAATAAATAAATAAATGAACCGCAAAACAAACGAAATGAAATGAATTTAAGAGAGAGAGAGAGAGAGAGAGAGAAAAAAAAAGTTGAAAAAAAAAAGAAATTCAATTACCATCAAGATTACATTAATTACAACTTGAGGGTGAAAAAGGTAATAGAAAGAAAGAGAAAGAGAGAGGGTGGGAAAGAGAGAAAGAAAATTGGGGAGAACGAACCTCTACACACACACCAAAGACATTTATATTTTTCGGTAATGTTTTTCTTATTTCTTTTCTCTCCTTTTCTCTCCCTTTCTCTTTTCTTTCGCCCCTCGCCACCACCTCAACCACCCTGACTACCACTACCACCACAATAAAATGATTGCGGGCTTTTACGAGAGTCGCTAATGACTTAATTCCGTGTTCTCGTCGCATTACGCGACGGATTTTAAAAAGATTTGGGGAGGTAAAAGGGTCGAAAGAGGAAGAGGGGGAGGGGAGGGGGAGAGAAAAAGGATTTAGAAACGTACCGAAAAAGCAACGGGTCGGTCGGTGGTAGTGGTGGTGTTGGTAGTGCTACACGGGTGGTAAAAAGAAGAAAGTTGGGCAGTAGAAAAATAAAAACCGCAACGTGTTACCGTATCAAAACAAAACAAAAGGAAAGGAAAAAAAGGTGCAAAGATTATACAGTAATAATAATAATAATAATTACATGATAAAAAATAAGCAGAAGACAAACAAGAAAACAAAAAAAAAAAAAAAAAGAAAATTTTTACTCTTTTTAGCAAGCAGTCGTTCATTCGTTTTTCTCATAATAAAAATAAATAAATAAATTTTCCAGTTGAATTTCCAGAAAAGAACAAAAAAGAAAATCTTGCACCCCCTCCACCTCCTCTTCCACCCCTACTCCCCCCTTTCACTCGATTTTCTCTACTACTCGTAATCGTTTTCCAATCCTCTTCCATGCATCAGAGATTTTTTTCAACGAATTATCATTATTATTATTACTTATGTTCCTTTATTCTCCTGTTTTCTCTCTCTCTCTCTCATCCAATAACGGAAAAGATGTACAAAAAAAAAAAAAAAAAATAATAATAACGATAATAATAATTTTCTTTCGAATGCGCGGGGCGGCCGAGGGAGGTGGATTTTTTTTTCCCAACCTACAATTTCCCTTCCCCTTCGCCCTCCCCCCACCCACGAATTACCGCGAAACAAGAAAGGAATTTGAAATTGCATAAACATTTTTTTGAAGGCGTAAGAATTAAAAAAAAAAAAAAAAAATTTTCGCGCAACTAACAAAGTAACTCACCATGAAGCTGGAACCTGAGACATTTCTGGACTAAGCATGGGATACGGATACGTACTCCCTGCCGAAAAGGGATACATGGGCGTCCTAGACAATCCTGAAAAAAATAAAAATAAAAAAATACATAAATTAATAATTTTTTTGATTTTAACAACAGCGGCCACAGCAACCACAATAATAATAATAAACAAACAAACAAGGAAACGAAAAATTTTCCTTCCTTTTTATTACAACGCATGCACGATAAGGGAATGCGGGAGGGGGAGGAGGAGGAGGAGGGAAGGAGGAGGAGGGGGAAAGATGATCGAAATTTCCAGTGAAAAAAAACGAACGAACAAACGAACGCCATGTTGAACATAAACAAACCATTTTGTCACTATTATTATTGATAATAATAATAATAAATTTTTTTTTATTTTTGTTATTGTTATTGTTTATGTTATTGTTGTTGTCGTTGTTGTTGTTCGTTGTTCGCCTAGACAGCAACAATTCGTTGTTCGGATTTAATAATAATAATAATAATAATAATAATAATAAGGCTCAGTTTACAAAAGTTTTAAATAACCAAAACAACTTTTGACTCATTGCGAGTTTTAACCTAATTTCTTTCTCTCTCTCTCTCTCTCTCTTTACTTTATCTGTATTCTGACACCGATAAGAATTAAATAAAAGGCGACAAAGCGACGGTCACGAAACAACACAACCAACGACGATAAAATAATAATAATAATAATAACTCACTTACGCGGAATTCATATCATTCGGAGTAAAAAAAGAAAGAAAAAGAAAACTTAAAATTTATTTAATTAATTAATTAACGGAAACAACAACAACGACGACGACGACGACGACGATGATGAAACGTTCACGTGAGAAAAAAAACGAGATGAGAGAGAGAGAGAGAGAGAGAATATGGACCGCGAAGAGATGAGGGCCACGAAAGGAGAAAGAGAGAGAAAAAGACTCGCCGAACACAAAACAAAATTCATTTTCGATTCGATATTTAAATAATTCTAAATTACCACCATCATCATCATCGTCACCACCCCCACCACCGCCGCCTCGCATCGTCTTTCGGCAGTGGCGGCAGCAGCAGCAGAAGAAGAAGAAGCAACAAAATGATGAGAAAAAGAAAAAAAAAAATTTTCCCTGCAAACATTATTGAAAACACGTCGGGGCTTTACATTATAATAAAAAGGAAAAAAAAGGAAAGCATTTTACGAGAAACAAAGGAAAAAAGGGGTAGAATAGTTTTCCTTTGATCTTCTCCTGTCACGTGATCAGATAACGATCTATGCGACGTTAAGGGACGAACGAACGAACGTATTCGCCCACTTTCACATTTACATTATATTTCTTTTTCCAAAACTCCTTTTTCCCTTTTTTCCTTCTTTCTCTCTCTCTCTCTCTCTCTCTCTCTAACTCACTCACTCACTCACTTTCTCTCTCTCTCTCTCCATAAAATAAAAAAAGAAATTGTTTTCCATTCCTTTCCTTTCCATTTCCTTTCTTTTTCCTACCTAAACTTTACATTTTAAAATTGATTATTTACACGTCAAAAAAAATTTTCGAAATGTCTTCCTTCCTTCCTTCCTCCCTCATCCCTTCATCCCTCCATTTTGTGCGTGCGTGTGTGTGCACGTGCGAGTGTGCGTTCAAAGTCAAAAAAACCCAAAAAAAATTTTCCTCAAAATTTAGAAAAAAAATCCGCGAAATAAAGAAACCGACGGCGAGGATTTTATAATATTTTCTTTCCCGTATCCGTTTCCGTTTCCGTTTTGTTGTTGTTGTTTTTTTTTTTTTTTTTGCTTCTCATTTAACCCCTAAAGTAAATTTCAATACGATGGACACATATAAAAGAGCGATTATGACGAACATTAGTTCCACCCTTGGCCAATACACAGATTGGTGCAATTAAACCGTGAACAAATATGAGAGGGTTGTAACCCTCATCATGTATTATGGATTTTTACATAACCTTACGTCCTTCCTTCCTTCCTTCCTACCCCCGTCCCCCCTTAGAACCTTACGTACGTACAGTCTGAACGCAGCATGCACCACCACCACCACCATGTACGCGCACCATTTTTAACGGGACTATATTTTTAAATTAGAATATCTTATTAACCCCCGTTGTACCCGTGCATGCATCATCAACCCCTTCACGAGAAACGACGAGAACACGACACGCACTCTTTCATCATCATCATCATCATCATCATTTTCTCAAATGATGGGGGAGGGAAAGAATCATCATCGTAATCAATTTACTGTTTACTTTTTCCACCACCTCACAATCATATCGACTCATATATGCCCCAAGGTAGGGGGAAGGGGAAGGAAAAATATTGCGGCGGGTTAATGTGTCAAGTGGGCAAAAAAGCCTGTCCGTCTCTCAATGACATGTAACTGTGTGGGATATGATATTTTTATCATCCTCATGTGCGTGCGTGCGTGCGTGCGTGTGCGTACTGCGTACCGCGCGCGGACACCATCCTTTTTTTAGGTGCGGCCATTATGAAACCTGTACGACGGACGCACCATGTGAAACTATGAAAAATCTATGACTGTCGTGACCTCCTCCTTATAAATTGTGACGCAAAAAAAAAAACGTGAAAACGATATTTGTCACTGTTTGTTTCCCTTCCCTCCCTTTCTTCCTTCCTGCCCCCCCTACATGTTTCAATACGTGTGTGTGTCTTCTGCTATTATAAATAAATTTACGATTTCTCGCGAACATTTTTCCTCTTCTTCTTCCATTCTTTACTAACCGACCACCTAAAAAATCACATAAATATGAATAAATCATTATATGCCCACTTGGGAACAAAAATAATAATAATAATAATAATAATAATAATAATAATAATAACCGTATCCCAAAGCGGGACAATTTTTATTTCCTCTAATTAAAAAAATTGGTCGACGACTCGGGGAAAAGGGTCGATGATGATGATGATGATGGTGGTGGGGAGTAGGCAGACACGTGGCAACACACGTTCATCAACAACTAAACGTTTTTCAACGATCTAACCTTAACTCTCTGCCACACTTTTCTTTTTTTTTGCTTGCTATTATTCAGAGAGAGAGAGAGAGGGGGGGAGGAGGGGAGTCACCATTCGAACCGTCGTCCGCTTAATTACGAATTATTATTATTATTAATGATCGCCGATCGATCCAACACGCAACTTTTCGATTCGCCAAAGTTCTCGACATCTTCGGTGGTAGTAGTGGTAGTGGCAGCAGTCATCGGGTTAAACCATCGAGAATAGACGACCCCATCACCACGCGCCATTCACCCAAGGACACACATGAATCAAGATGGTTATCACGACGGAAGACGCAAGAAAAAAAACGTGAAAAAAATTTTAAATTTCATATCATTCGAATCAAATGCAAACGAGGAAATTAATAATAATAATAATAATAATAATAATAATGATAATAAACGATTAATAATTTTTGTCGTACACGCCCAAACATATCATCAATAATAATTTCGTTACAAAAAAAAAAAAAAATGGCGTCCATCCACTACCCCTAAAGATGAGTGAGGATGATTGCTCTCTTTTTTTTTTTGTCGTCGTTCCGGCGGTTCCCCGCAGCATTTCACCATTTTTCTTCTTC